TATTCAAAAAAACTAAGCCCTACACAACAAAATTATAGCACATACGATCGTGAACTTCTAGGTATTTATCTTTCCATTAAATATTTTAAACATTTGCTAGAAGGAAGAAAATTTACAGTATATACAGATCACAAGCCTTTAACCTACGCATTTTTACAAAAACCTGATAAAGCATCCCCAAGGCAACTACGACAACTTCAATACATTTCTGAATTTACAACAAATATAACTTATATTAAAGGAGAAGATAATATAGTTGAAGATGCATTTTCAAGAATCGAAACAGTTACAATAATCGACTATGATGCAATAGCAGATGAACAAATCCAAGATATAGAATTGCAACAGTTAATGAAGAGTAAATTTTCTATAAAATTCAAGTCATACACATTACCATCAGGAAAAACACTCTGGTGTGATATTTCCACACTCAATATAAGACCCTACATTCCAAAACAGTTTCGGCAACAAATATTTCAACAAATTCATGGTTTTTCACACCCTGGAATTAGATCAACTATTAAACTAATGACTGAAAAATTTATCTGGCCAAATATGAAAAAAGAAATAAGATTATGGGCAAGAACATGTATTCCCTGTCAAAATGTAAAGTCCACAGACATACTAAATCAAAATTTGGAGAATATGAAGTACCTGTTGCTAGATTTAGTGTGATACACATTGATTTAATTGGTCCACTTCCACCATCGCAAGGCATGACATTTTGTATGACCTGTATTGATCGTTTTTCGTGTTGGATGGAAGCAGTTCGCTTGCCTGATTGTAAAGCAGAGACAGCTAGCAAAGCCTTTAATGAACACTGGGTTTGCAGATTTGGAGTACCTGTGAAAATAATTACAGATCAAGGAAGGCAATTTGAATCCCAGTTGTTCAGAAGTTTAGCTGCTATTTGTGGAGCTAAAGTAGCTCATACAACTTCCTATCACCCTCAATGCAATGGGAAAGTGGAAAGGTTACATAGGACCTTATAAGGGGCAATCAAAACTCATAACAACATCAAATGGACACAGACTTTACAACGGTATTGTTAGGATTACGATCGGCTCTACGTGGTGACACAAATTACACCATTGCACAAATGGTTTACGGACAAACTATCCGATTACCAGGAGAATTTTTCGAGAAACCGAAAAACATCTTGGATACAGATACGTTTGCGGAAGAATTACAGAAACAAATGGATCAGTTACAACTACTGAAAACTCACCGACAACCTTCTCAAAAATACTTTGTCCATAAAGACTTGCATACCAATACACACGTGTTCATACGCGTCGACAGAGTAAAAAAACCACTTGAACCTCCTTACGATGGACCGTTCCCAGTGGCAAAAAGATACGACAAATATTTTACTGTGACAATTAAAGGCAAGGACATCAATATATCTGTAGACAGATTAAAACCTGCATATTTATTGTTAACTGATGGTGATAATCCCGATCATCTCAAACAATCAGAACATGCACCAACCCTGCCCGACAAAAAACTGATTGTGCAGACAAAAATTGAAAAACAGCCACCATATTTGCAGGGAAAAGATGTCCAAAAAACAACTACACACTCTGGTAGACACATAACGTTTCCAGCCCGTTACAGAAATTAGTTGCATATTATTTTGTATGATTCTCATTTGTTGTATTTTTACCTTATTTGTATGTATTGCATGTCAATTTAAAATTTTACTACTTTTATTGCATATTGTATCGTAACTATGTTACTGGGGAAGGAGTAATGCTGCATCTCTATTTATATATTATCTTTGCTTTTGTAACTTTAGTTCTTCTGATCTGGCAACAAAAGAGTTTACAATATTGCGGCTGATGTAAGAACACGGATAAAAAGCTTACGATCGAGAATAGTTTTCTTCTGTTATTCTTAATCATTTTAAAGAGATGAATCAATTCTAAAAAATATTTTTATTTATTGCATATATTATTCGCGACTAACTCATCTACAAGAGGATCACTCGACGGTGATTAAATCCGGTTAAGGATCGCATTCAAGGCCTCAACTGGAGGACTCGACTTCTTAAAAGTACAGGCATCGTGATCCTTATTTAAATAGAAGTTAGCTTATTAGTGCGTGACGTAGTTTATATTGAGCTTGTATAAGTTATCGTGGAGTCAGTTGAGGGTTCGTAATATTATCCCCAAGCTAACGGGTCTCACCTTCGCGCTCTACATACTGATCAGATTTCTTAATTGGATTATTACTGTGCTTGCTTGATATTTTGTGTCAATAAAATAATTAGAGCGAATCATGTCGACTGATTATTCAGTTCTTCTCACAACTCTAGCCGGGTCAGAGGGTAGACAAGGGGGGGGGGGTCAGAGGGAAGCAGGAACCAACAAGCATTACAATTGTTAAAACAGTGATTTTCACCTAAGTATACTAAAGCAGTGGTCTCCAAAATGAAGAACATGTATCCCAGGGAGTACTCAAATTGGAATTTGGGGTACACCAAAAAAGTAGGTTCATGATCCTTTACGAAAGTTTGATCATGTATCACGGGAGTGCAAGATTCTCTCATGGGTCTCTATGTTTGGGGAGTTCACCATTATAAATGCCCCGTACATGTGCACGTAGACATCAAAGCTAAGCCTTTGGGGGATGAGAAAGAGAAAGATATTTCGAATGTTTAAGAGGAATGTGCTGCTCATTGCCCGCATTACATTCTAACACGAAATTAAAAAATATATATAATATAGCTTATATTATGTGTTTAAAATAAAGTTTGACTCTTTGACTACATACATTCAATCATATTATATTGATGAAAACTATGATTTTGTAAGCCTTATTATTTATTCACACAGGCTGTTGGTGACCGACTCGTCGTTTTGAACTTCGATCAAATAATCAGGACGACACCTGACCTAACACCACCCTTTCCACATCCCTCCAACTAGAGGGCTTTAAGCTCTCAGATTTAATGTACATTCGTCCCTCTACACCAGAGGTTCCCAAACTTTTTTGTGTCATAGACCCCTTGCTATGGTTTTCGGTTTGGGGTAGACCCCTGCTTGCGTAATATTGAATTTTTGCAGATTTATTAACTTAAATGTGTTTATGACAGCTGGTACAGAAGTATTTAATTTAAAAGATTTAAATTTCAAACTGTAGTGAAGTTGGGAAACAGTAAAACTGAAGAAACACATATTAATTAATTTAAAATTTAAGTGAAGCATAAAATAACTGATTAAAAAACAAATGTTTATAATGATAGGTATGAATCTGGTGTTTCAATAACAAATTTTCAACATTTGCCATCAATCTTGTCAGGTTTAACCCCAAATTTCCTCGGTTAGTAGTGTACAGCTGACAACCCTGCTAAAACTTCTCATAGGAAAAGCAATTAAAATCCTTCTTTAATACGAGATAAAAACAGGCATGTCTCTTTAGAGCTGAAATTGGTGACATCTGTTTCTATCAAGATCTCCTTTACTTACTCTTTCAATCTCCTCTTGTAATAAGACATTTTTTTTCAATGCGACCATAGGAATTCATTGTCTTCTGTGGTAATTACCAAGTAAATGCTTTCTCAAACCCAGTTTCAAAATCTGAATAAAGGGGATTTAAATGTTGAACGTTGGTTAAAACGTCATTTCCTGGCAAATTGTTTGTGACCAATTGAGAAACTAGGAAAATTCGCCACATCCAAAATTACTCTTTTAGCTTAATTCTGGCAAGAAAAGCTTGAGGGTCCCGTAGACAGAAATCCCAACTCTAAAACGATGAAAGCGCCCTCTTTTGGGAGGGGGGAATGGGTGTTTTGAAAGAAAAGGCCAAGTACTCATGTAGTACTGGTCTCCAATGATCGAAGGTAAATAGTTCCTTCATAAAAGATAAATTATATGCCTTTTTTCTTCTTAATTTTCAATATTTTCTCGACTTTGAAATAAACATTTTTTTCCATGCTCCTTGTTTTAATAAAATTTATGCTGCCCGGCAACTTCAAATTAGCCTCATTAAATTTAGTAAATAAATACGTTAAATAGGTAAAATCTGGTTTCCATTTGGTTAAATCTTCCTTTAAAATTAAAATCACAATCTGATTCAATGAGAACTGTCGTAGACCCCTATTTGCTCCTCATGGACCCCCAAATTATTTTCTTGCTGTCGTAGACCCCTTGAAGGTCGTCATAGACCCCTAGGGGTCTATATAGACCACTTTGGGAATCACTGCTCTACACGGTAGATCTTCATTGATAGTAGAATTAGAACTCCTGATATGCCGGACACGAGTTCCCGACCATCACCACCAATCCAATTCGCAATCCAAGTTCTACGATGTAAGAAAAGATGAAAATTTTTCACACCTAGGGATTTTTTTAAAATAAATTTTCGAACTATCGATGCTGAGCTCAAACAAACCTTTAATAACAAACAAGTAATATGAAAAAAAAAATTTTAATCAATTCCTACTTAGGTCAACAAAGAAAATTTTTATATATTTTAGATACTTTTTATTAAGTAGTTACAATTAATATAAATATGTTTATACATATGACAGTGAGTGAGGGAGTATTAACATCCCACTGTTCAGCTACACGAGGATTTTTGGGGACGGTCCGCGTAATTTTGAACCATGGTCAAGTGACGCGGACGACGCCTGAGCTGGCATTCCCCTCTCCTAACTACCACACCACACCAACGGGAAGACGTTTGAGTTCTCGACAGATTTAACGCGTGCATCACTCCCCTATTCGGTGGGTCTTCAGTGGTACTGGGATCGAACTCATGACACGCTAGCCATGATCCGATGCCTAGACCACTTGGCTACCGCGGCCACTATACATATAGCAGAATCACAATATTAAGTGGCAAAATAGAAAAGGATTTTGCTTCCAATTTTTCCATTTTCCTTTTCTATATAGGGTGTTGGACTATTATTTTTGTTTGTTACTATTTATTCAAAAATTAAAAATTTATACATTCAAATGTAGCATAGTAAAAATAAATCACATTCTCTGAAATTAAGCCCCCCCATGTGGAATTCGAATCCACGACCTTTGGATTAGAAATCCAACGCGCTATCCATTGCGCTTCAGGGACACAATGAGTGCTTTTCCTTTTTTTATGCTGTTGGACTCTTATTTTTGTTTGTTACTATTTATTCATTTTTGAATTTAATTAATGATTTAATATTTGAAAAACTACATTAACATCAAGTGTCATCCACTACAAGTTTAAAAAAATATATTTGAACTTGAACGGATGAATAGAAAGTATTTTGTTAACGATTGAAAACTTGAACAAGAGAATATAAATAATTGGGAGAGTTTGAATTATATATAATAGAGTAGGGGAATTGAAAAAGAGAGAGAGAGAGAGATAGAAATGCGGAACAGTTTTTGTATGAAGGAAAAAACAACCCGACAACTGCCCTCGTGTTTTATTCCAAAAACAGTTAAATGAAATTTTGCTACTCTTTGACTCCTTTTAAATTCACTCTTTTAAATAAAAACAAGGCTTACTAATGAAGCCTTATTTTTCATAGTCTCGAATTGAAATGGAAAGATACACGACCTGTCAGCTTTTTTTTAAGACTCTGCGAGCTTTCTCTACTCATTGTTCGACTTCAACTGAAAGAGTTCTCCAGCTGTGCGAGTAAACAACTGCTCTTTGTATTTGCAGAATGAAAGATGAATTACGGTACTCTTTTTCCAAGCGGATTTTTTTTTTTGAACTCATCTTTATTTCTTTTTTAGCAATATGCTTTCCCGCGATACTATGCGTGAATTTTCTTCGCTTTTAGGTTTATTATTAGCTCTTTTTTTGGCTGTATGATTGATTTAAAAATGATACAATTAAACGTCTAAATTTATTAACAGAAAATATAACTTTTAAGCCCTTAACTAGTTTGCCCGTACGCTGTACGGGCACTAATATTTTCTTTCTATCTTTGATTTGCACAGATTTTTAATTCTTAAATTGAGATTATTGGTGCCAGTGTTTTTAAGAGATGCAGTTTGTCCATGGTGCTGAAGTACTTATCATCCGGGAATTTCTTTGTGTTTGTGGTGCACGTTAGCCTGATAACTTGAAGAGATCAAAGAAAGGTGTTATATAATTCAGTGTTTCCCCACCTTTTTATCGTCAGGGACCGGTCAAAATTGGATAATTTTACCGCGGCCCGCTGACGGAGGAAGTTAATTATTTATATTTTAGATTGATTAGATTTAATTGTATTTAAATATACCTTCAGAATATAAAATACAGTTACACCAAAAATGAATACAAAGTGAGATTTAACAAGGAATATAAAATTATTTCCATGGAAAGCCCCACAAACTGGAAAGAAATTTACCTCAGTAAATAAAATGGAAATAATTTAATACTTTTTGAGCGTCCCAGAACTGTTTTTACCACGGACCGACACCGTTCCGCGGCCCGGGGATTGTGTGTGTGTGTCAACCACTACTCTACACGACGGGTCAGCCGCAATATCCTGATGGGTCAAGGTCACAGAATCGTGGTTGGCGTGTCGTGAGTTCTAACATAGTGCCGCTGAAGACCCGCCGTGCAGAGGAGGCCGCTGCAGGTTAAATCTTTCTACGCTCAAGCATTCTCCCGTGGAAGGTGGGAGTGCCAGCTCAGGTGTCGTCCTTGTCACTTCACTACGGTTCAAAATGACGAGGTCCGTCACCAATATCCCTCTTGCAGAGTGACGTAAATGTAACTCTCACTCACTTACTCTTTGGCGACATCAGGATTCGAACCCACGAGTCGACAGAATCATCGACCCCCTCAGAGAACGGTGATAATAGGAACAAAAGCCAGTTATAGTGAAAGTAATAGACACGGCAACAAGTACCTATTTCACCGCCAGATGTTTTTCTTCCGTGGGGAATATCGTCCTCCTATTTGATCCTCGGCCAAAGGGGCGTGACGTCAGGGGATGACATTGAACTCATCCGCAAATAGATAACTGTCTTCGTTTTCAGCTGATTCTGCAGAAATGTATGGATCCGCTCGCTTCTTTTACGCGGAACGGATCCGTTTGCTCTGCAGTCCCTCTCTTCATTTTTTCTCTCTACCAGACGTTGTTGTGTCTCTCACACAATAGTTGGCTTCTCACAGTCTCTTCATTTTTTCTCAATCAAATACGGTAGCGGTTCTTAAACTTTCGATCACTGTGTCCCCCCCCCTTCATATATCAGCCTGGAATCGTGGACCCCCCCCCCCCCTCCAAGACTCTAAACACCCCTTCTGACTCCCAACACATGGCTGAGTGATCCTAAGACTGTTTCAGTAACTTGTACAGACTTTTTGGTAACACTTTTATTTTTCTTCAAGAAAAGACAACGTCTAATTTTAAAATATTACAAAACGCTCATTTCAAATAAATAAATAACGTACTTAACATATTGATTTATATTTTTAATGAGAAGGGTGCTGCTACATTTCTTTCACGAGTGCTGATATATTAGGTGCAATATTTGAAATCTGCAGTCTCAATTCCGGTTCTGCGCTCTCCAGTCGGTTTCTGTAATTTTTAAGATAAATAAGAGCTGAAACTGTTCTTTCAAATAATAATAATAAAAGTAGTTTCTATGGGCATCAGAAATTGATCGCGCGAAATACATGATCTAGTATAGTTTTTTCCTTTAGTGATCTAGTCTAGGAAGTTGCATCTTCCAATTTTTCCACGTGGCCTTTCGAAGTCTGTAAAAGAGAGAAATCTTAGCTTTAAGCGAAAGACCTCCGAGGACCTCTTAGAAAGGAGTTGAGGACCCCCGAAAGTCCACAGTTAAAGAACCACTGAAATAGGGGATGGAGAAGGGCCACATCCTGCTCTTTTTCCTGTTTTCTTAGTTGAATAGATCCTATCTTCCAATTAACTATTTAATCTGTTCGGACATTTAAATAATGATAAGCTGCTTAGTTTTCATGACTTTAACTAGACAGTCACAGTGGACTCGCGAAAGAAAAATAAAAGATGATAGAATGAGTCAAACATTTGGAAAATAGCGAAGAGTAGAAAAGAACTTACAACAGAATAACAAGTCAACTCATTCAACTTACTGAAATAATCACCTTCGAAAGTTAGGTCTTTCCTCGAACATAATGCAATACATGTTGGGATACAGAACGATATATTTATAACGGTATATAAATGAGAATAGATAATAATTTAAGCCAGTGCTCGTCAACCCCTTTGCCGAGGCACTTTTGTATGCCACCAGATTTTTTAAAAAAATATTACTTATAATCTGATAAAAAAAATACAGGACCGAATCCTTCGGCCGTTTTATAGAAGAAAACTAAGGATATTTGTGGTATATTTAACTTATCCTTTCATGGATAAATGGTGGCCGTGGTAGCCTAGTGGTCAAGGTAACGGTCTCACGCCTGGCGGGTCATGAGTTCGAGCCCAGTACCACTGAAGACCCGCCATTTAGGAGAGCGATGCACGTTACAATCTGTCAAAAGCTCAAACATCCTCCCGTTGGTGTGGTAGTTAGGAGAGGGGTGCCAGCTCAGGCGTCGTCCTTGTCACTTGACCATGGTTCAAAATTAAGAGGTCTGTCGCCAAAAGCCCTCGAGTAGCTGAACAAGTTCGACGTTAATTATCACTCACTCACTATTCGTGGATGTAAAAAAAATGTGGTTGCGGATACTCTGTGATACGGATATATCTGCTTAGGAAAATTATATATATATATATATATAACTTTGAATGAAAAGGAAAACTAATTTCGCTTTATAATAATCGAGATTTAATTTCAAAACATTCAGAAGAGTTAATTAGTTCATTTTGGATTAAAATTATTAGAGGCGCGATTATCTCATAATAAGCTTCAAATATTGTTACAATTTGCTACATCTGCTTTGCATGAATTCGGATTTTCAGCATTAACAAATATAAAAGAAGAAAAAGAATTGGGAATTTTAAATGCACACGACGAAAGGAGAGTTGCATTATCATTTTTACCACCCAATATAAACGAAGGTATTAAAAATCAACAAGCTCGAATATCCCGTTAAAATTATTCTTGTAATTAATTATTCAATAAACATTTTGCTGTCTTTGTCGTACACATTATTTTATTTAACATTGAAAATTATCATCGTAAACTATTTTAAATGTAGTACATAGGTCAGTAAAATCTGGGGCGATCACAAGTGGGTTGTCCTATGAATCCGACCACCCCTCAAAGCCCTTGAGTTTGATATGTAACGTAAAATTTAATTAAGTACTTGTAATTAACAATTTATTTTATTAATTAATGCTAGTTATCAATTCAATAGTTTAATTTTTTACTGTTTTTTGAGAACAAAATCGACAAAATCAGAAGAATCAATTGGTATTGTCTTGAGGTATGATACAAGTCGGGGGGCTTTCGACCCCCCCCCCCCTGAAAATTTTTTGTGCCCGCTACTGAGTAAAATCTTTTAAAACCTATTTATTGATAGTGTGCCATCAAATTTGTGTAAACTTTACCGCAACAACAACATAAACACACACACAAAAGTTGGGAATCGGTGATTTAAGACAAATGGAAAAATATTGATAAAATATGGACAGTAATACAAGTATTGATACAGATTATGAGTGTGGGCGCAGTAGAAAGTATTCGAAACAATTCAATTATAACAGCAATGCATGCAGAGTTAGGAAAAAGAGGTCAGGAATACGGATTTAGAGTTTTGTTATATGTTAATTTTGAATCAATTAAAGTTATTTATCAACAAAAAATAAATAAATAACAGAGAATATAACTACTCCTTCAACATAAATATAAAAATCAAAACTGTACACATAGTATACATACATTATACGAATTTTTTAAACGTTTATCAAAAGAAGAAATGAACAACATAAAATGTAAGTACTCTTTCAAATATAGTTATTGTCTTGAGCTTTGTCCCTGCACCCCTGTACTTCATATCAGGGGTATAATTTGTGATTTTCAATTTCACACGATTCTGTGAACGCTCACTTGTTAAACAACTTCTTGACAGACTCAAAATATTTTTCATGAGAGTAAAGATTTCTCGTTCACATATAGATATGTGGAACCAATAGCGTAAACAGACCTCTCTTATTG